TCCTAGCTGCAATTGTGGTGGGTCCGTTTTGAAGCAGGCTATAATGGTGAAAGGCGGCCAGGGTGTTCCGAGCGCGGGGAGCTGACGCACGTCAGAAGCTGATTGTCAGCTGCGGCTTTACAGCACCAAGGGAACGGACCTGCACTCACCCACTTGCGGAACGTACGTTCCCGTCATCTGTCCGTCCAAACCCAATCTCAGAACTCCCTCGCCCGTCGATATTCACAGACTTGACGAAACCTGGGCACCTGTATTCCCAAGGCTGGTTCACCTCTTGCGGTCTGGTGGTCTGCTCTGCGCCTCCCTCCCTAACAACCTCGATGTTGCCAACCAAAACCAGCGCTCCCTCCCTCCACTCTGTCCCGCGCTGGTTCAGCGCAGTGTGAAGACCAGTGGAGGACAGAACAGATCACTAACTGCAGAGCTGTCCACCAGTCATCCCGCCATGTCTTAGCGCAAGGGCGTGTATGTTAAGGCACTGTACAGTAGAAGATATCGAGTAGGCTGTGTCAGTTCACAGTGCTGTGTGATTCTTAGACCTAATCGCAATGCCGGTCGCGGAGAACAGTCGGCTTTACGCACCAACGCGTTCCTCTCTCGCTAAGACACGCGCTGTCAGTCCACCCTCGCAGCGACGCCTCTCCCCCGCAGGCAGCAGCGGAAATGGAGCGCAGGGTTCCGAGCCACGTGCTGGTTCAGCCCGATCTTTGTCACCCAATAGAACCGCTGCACCCGCCGGCATCGGGCTCGCGCGAGCAAGCGGAGCAAGGAGCAGGGAGGACCAGCCGGCAAGCGGGGGAATGGGCCAGCACGCTGAGGTCTCCGCAGAGACGCGGAGATGGTCTGCGGGGAGCAGTACTGCGCGCTTACCATCCCCCTCGTCTCCCCCTACCTCCCCGCGGTTCACTCGGCGCAGGGATACCTCCTCCCCGCCTTCCTCCCCCGGCCTCGGACCCGGTCGGCCGTCCCGGCGAACGGACCACGCCCGAGATGGCGGACACGTGGCACTGGGGAGGCAGGGGCTAGCGGTGATGCAGGGACGACGGCTGTCGGATTCGAGCTCAAGTGTGTCGGTGCTGGGAGTGGTGGAGGAGCAAGCGGGGGACACGGGTGAGGGGTCGCGGCAAGGATCAGTGGACGCGTTTGAGGCGATGAGCAACAGCAGCCAGATCAGCGACTCCGGTAGCTACAGCGGCTCCGCGCCCACCGCCGCGCGGAACGGTCATGTCTACTCCACGGACGCCGCGAGGCAGAGCCGTTTGTCTCTTGAGCCGCGCCACGGCGGGCAAGCAGCTAGACTAGCCACCCCTGCTGACGTGGACAGGTATCACGAGAGCGGTCGGCAGTTCGGGCAAATGTTACGGGGGGGCGCGGGGCCGGCGCGCATTGTCAGCCCCGTGGAACGCGCCGTAGCTGCGGAACTTGCGACATTGGCGGATTCCGTCACGGACGCAGACGTGTATGCGCCGTCCCCCGCCGCAGCCGCGCTTATGTCCGCAACGGACGGGCTCTTCTCCGCCGCGTCCGCTTACGCCTCCGCCTCTGTTCCCCCGCCCCCTGGCGCGCCTTCACCAACACCCCTCTACAGTCTCTCCGCGCATCAGCCTGTCTCATCCTCCCCGTGGCCCCCGACGGTTGTGGCGCTTGCGCGTCCACCTGAGGCGGGGCTGGGCGGACTTGATGTAAGGGCGCGGTTGGGGCGCACCCTGGGGTACGGGAGCGCGGGCGGAGGGGGGAAGGCCGGGGGGAGGTGGGCTACAATGGAGTCGAGCATTGAGGGGCAGGGGCGGGAGAGGCAGCATCAGCAGCAGCAGCAGCAGCCAACGAAGGACGCCAAGGAGCTGGCACGGTCGCTGCTGCTGCAGCTGTCGGGCGGCAGAAAGGCGCCGCTGGGGGGAGGCGCGCCGCAGGTCATTGCGGTGCGCGATCGGAGTGGAGGGGAGGCGGCGCAACGGGACTCCGGAGCCTCGGGAATGCCGGCTGCAGTCCACGGGGATGGCATGAGCGGGCAGCGGCAAGGGGTGGAGGGGGCGACCAGTGCATTCGCAGGTCGAGGGGCCGTGACCGGCAGGGAGGCGGAGCAGGGAGAAGTTGACTCGATTATGACTCAGCGAGGTGCTTATAACGAGAAGAAACGCGGTGACACTGAGAGGACGGGCGGTGGCGTGATGGGCGGTGCGAGTTTCGACGATGACGTGATGGTGATGGCGGGCGAGGACGAACAGCACGAGGAGAAGGCCGCGTGGAGGCAGCCGTGGTCGCAGCGACGACTGCAGCACGACGACGTGCCGCCGTCGCCACCACCGCTGCTGCAGCAAAAGCAGCAGGAGCAGGAGCAGCAGGAGGAGGAAGAAAAGCTGGAGCATGAACAGGGGCTGCGGCAAGTCGAGTTGCAGGAGCATTTGCAGAAGCAAATATCATTGCAGCAGCAAATCGAGTTGCAACAGCAGGAGGAGGACCGATCAGAGGAGGCAGAAGCAGAGAGTACGGAGGAGGAAAGCGAGGAGCGGCTTGTGCGAATGCGAGCAGAGGAGCAGGCGGAGCAACAGAGGCAGCAGAAGCTGCCATCGCAGCCGAGTCTATCACAGCAGCAGCAGGGGCAGCAGCAGGGGGCGGCGGGGGGCAGCCCGGTGTCGACTCTGGATGTGGCGCTGAGCAAGGGGTCCCCCTCAACCGATGCAGGTGAGGAGGAGGGCGGGCTCGCCTTGCACGCGCGCATGCACGCACTCGCCGACGCCCACTGGCTCGCCGTGGATGCCAGCCAAGCAGAGGAAATGGCAGTCGAAGAGGACATGGAGAAGCGTGGAGGTGCAGAGGAAGAGGCAGAAGCCTGCAGGGAAGCAGCGCGCGTGTGGGGCGATGAGCCTTGCGTGCCCGCCCAACAGGCGCTGCCACTCTTGCACACACAAGGTGCCTGCCTTGCTGCCTCTTTCTGTGCCGTGGGGCTGTCACTGCACCACGCCTGCCATGTTGTGCCATGTGTCTCTCTTATATGGCAGCTGGTGCCATGTGTCGCTGCATTGTGCATAGATGGATGGACCTCCTAGCATCATGCTTCCTATCATCACATGGAGTGACCCTTTCCATTCACTATCCTCCTGCTGTGCCCTGAATTTGCTCCTCATAACATCTTGTTCCTCTCTCTCCTCTCCTCCCAATCTCCACTCGCTGTGCAGGAGACAAGGCACCCGACTCGTCCCTGCTCGCACCAGCAAACCCTCCTCCTGCCTCTCCTCTCACCACCGCCGTCACCCCTGCAGCAGGACCTCTCCAGCCGCCCCTCTCAGCGCCCCCGCCTGCTCTCCCCCTGCCACCACTGGAGTCGCTAAGCACAGTGGACCTGGGAACACTCGCCTTTGTGCCGTCACCAGCGGGCATGGAGGAGGACCTCGAGTACATCCGCTACGTGCTCGTTGCTGCTGGCTTCGCCAACCGCTCTCTCCCCCCTGCGGCGTCTCCAGCTGCGCCCATCAGTGCGGCGGTGTTTGAAGTGCTGGAGGCGGAGTTCCTGTCGCTGGATGGCATCATTGTTGACCCTGCCAACCCCCTGGGGCCTGTCACGGGGCAAGCAGCATCAGGAGGCAAGGCAGGAGGTCCAAACGCATCATCGCCAGAAGCAACAGCAGATGGGTTGTCGGAGAGTGAGAGCCTGCCATCAGATGCAGCGCCGGCCTTCTCCTCACCAGCCCTCCCTGCCAATTACCCTGATGAGCGGCGGCAGCGCCGCCTCCTCTTTGACGCCGTGAACGAAGCTCTCGGCCGCCGCCTCGTGCCTTTCCTCCTGCCCTCCCAACCGTGGCAGCACCTGCATGCCGCCCGGTCTGCACCCCTACGGAAACGGCCAGCCGGGCGGCGGCTGCTGCAGGAGGTGTGGGCAGAGATCCACTCGTGGGCTGTGCCCATGTCTGATGACGTGTTTGACACCCTGGATGACCTGGCACGCAGGGACTTGTGGAAGGGAGTGGACACCTGGATTAACAAGGATAAGGCTGTGGATGATGAGGTGCCAGATGTTGTGTTTCAACTGGAGGAGGTTCTGATGGGGGAGTTGATTGGGGAGATGTGTGCGGATTGGATGGAGATAGGGAGGAGAAAGCAGAGAGGGAGAGATGGAATGCTTGAGTTGATGGATGGAGGAAAGCACCATGGTGGAGGGAGTGATGTGTTTATAGCAGGAAAGGATGGAGGCAAGGCAGGTGTGGTGGCCGTGGAAGAGAAGGAGAGTGGTTCGGCAAGAGGGTCACCGGTTGGCAGTGGAAGCAGGTCTCTACGGTGGCTGAGGCTTGGGAGATGAGTGAATTGAACTGACGTTTAACACCAGTCCTAACACCATCGCTGAGCTAGAGTAATCTAGCCATGCACTGGATCTGATTTGTGATAATAACTTGTCAATGCATGCAAGCTTTCCTACACACCCCTTTTGTTGCACCTGATTCAAATGCTCGTATTCAATGCAATTTGCTTTTTTCTTGATTGTGTACCGAATTCGTGCAGTTGTTCCATTTAGTGCAGTTTACATCTACAGCACCCAATTTTCGTGATTCGTGATTCAGCTGTGTTCCGCTCTGTGCACTTCACGGCATTGCCACAAGTTCGTATGCTGTCACCCCTGCCACGACAACGCTGAGGTTATCCTGCCCTAGCTACACAGGCAGCGCAACTGCCGGCAGCTCAGACGGACACTTCTTCCTGGACAGACACGCCACAGACCTTGACCTGACAGCCGCTTGGGTAACCTCTGTCGCTATTTTATCGTACTAGGTGGTGTGTAGGCGACTCCGAATTTCTACCCCCGAAAATGGCTGCCACCGCCTCGGCGATTGCCGCGTCTAGACCAGATGGTTACTTGATAGCCATGATCGCAGATGAGGTAGGGCGAACTTGGACCAGCGATCCCTCACTCTAATGCTCGCGTCGTTCTTCTCACACCGAGTTCGCGTTGGTGGGTAGAAGACCACGATAAATGACATATTCATCACATTATTCCGTCAAATGTGCAGGACACGATAACCGGATTTCTGCTGGCCGGAGTGGGTCACATGGACGTGCGGCGACGGAAGAACTATCTCGTCGTCGACTCCAGTGAGCTCTTCGCGACTGGCCCTGAGTCTGTATTTTTCAGGTTATCTTCGATTTGGCGCTGATCAGGAGGTTTTCTGCTCGTGTGTTTTCAGAGACCCCTGTGCGACAGATCGAGGAGTCGTTTAAAGAGTTCAGCAATAGGGAGGACGTCGCCGTCATTCTTATAAGCCAATATGTGGGTCGCCTCGATCATCATTCACCAGGGAGCTGCAGTCTGAATTACGTTCATCTTGCCTTTTAATCATATTGAGCCTCGTTCTCGCCATTCAAGCCTTGTCCCTGTGCCGTGCAGATCGCCAACATGATTCGGTACAGCATCGACAGCTACAACAAGCCCATACCCGCCGTGTTGGAGATCCCCAGCAAGGAGCATCCGTACGACCCCAACCAGGACTCCATTCTCTCGCGCGTCAAGCACATGTTTGCTTCGTCTGAGTCCGTTTCTGACTCCAGGGTCTGACACGGCCCGCGCACGCTCACACACTCACAGCCATCTTCAAATCGTTCCCTTACCGTATCACCAAACTCTTCAAGCTCCTGCCTGATTCCGGTCTGCACTCTCCACAGCCTGTCCCTGTACGCATGCTGTGTGCAGGTTGGTTGCCCATACCTCACTAGAAGTTTCATATTCAATAGTTGGTGTAGCTTATTGGTTTGTTTCCTTAACAGATGCAGACGACAGTGATACATGACAAAGCTGTATCAAGCATATGGTGCTTCCAAGTCACTATATTGATGAAGCCTGTACACTTTCACCACAGGGCAAGTCACCACCAAATCATTCCAGCTAGTCGAATATTTCAGCTCCTTGGCATGAGGCAGGCAGGAGTGTGGCGTGGGACATGTCTCAGGTCACGTGTCAGGTGTGGCCTCCTCTGTGACAATAGTGAGTGTGACTGTCTTCCCATGTGCCCTCTTGACGACGAGGGGCACCTTCACGCCCACCTTATCTCCCAGCAAATCCAGCACCTGGCGGGAGGAGGTCACTGGCTGCCCGGCAAACTCCACTATCACATCACCCGGCTGCAACCCACCCCTGGCTGCAGGCGACCCAGGAATCACCTGAGGGGGTTGGGAGAAGAGCAAAAGAAAAGACACAGTGAGATGGTCAAGAGGAAACAAGGCAGCAGCACAAGCAACGCAAAGCTACACTACCAAGGACATCCAGCAGTGTTGGTCTGGCCTGACTGGCCAAGAGTTGCATCACAGACATGGACCTGAGCCCACGTGGCCCCATAACAGCAAGTCACCTGGGGGACGAGAATGCCGGCATCGACCGGGGGGAAGGAGGGGTCTCTGTCCCTCAGCTGTGCTGCAATGGAGGCGTTGAGCTCCAACATCTTGATGCCCACGAATGGCCGCACCACTCTTCTGCTCATGGGGATGAGACGAGAAAGGGAGGGATGGGAAAGGGGGAACGACAAGAGGAGAAAGACGGCAAGCTGACCCTGTCTGTTCCACCTCTTTTGTCCCCCATGCGACCTCTGCTTTCTTGCTCAACATGCCCTTCCTCTCGCGCATCCAAATCAAATTGTAAGTAGCAGTCAATAGGGATGGTGGAACAGACCCTTCTGTTGCTGTGCCCCCATGCCCCTTGCCCCCTCTGTTCTCCTCGAATGCAATTTTCTACCCCCCTCTGTTCACCAGTGCCACTCACCCATGGCGGGAGAGCTGGTCCAGGATGAGAACCGCGGAGTCGATGGGGATGGCGAAGCTGACCCCATCAGCTGCCAGCGCCTTCATGTTGTTGATGCCCACCACCTCCCCGTCCAAATTCACCAGCGGCCCCCCACTGTTGCCCTGCTCCCCCATGCGTCACACGCACACACACACCGTTCATGGTTCGTGAGAACGGATTTACCAGCAGGCAAAAGTGTGCGGATACAGATGGATGGAACAGGCATGACCCGGGACAGCATCTTATGGTCTGGAAGCATCTCACATGAGATGGCGTGGCAGAGACTGTTGTGCATGTGTGCGTGGGGTTGCTGCTGTGCATGTTCACACCGCATTGATGGCTGCATCTGTCTGGATGTAATCCATTCGCCCTCCCCTCAGCCCCAGCTCTGTGCCCTTGCGATCCACACAACTGCACGCCACCGTGGGAGGGCGGAAGAGGAACAGCAGGAACAAGGTTCACGACATGCCACAGGTAACAATGTGCAAGCCCATCTGCCCCTACTCTGGCCATAAAACGCTCATTCACGTCACCCAACAAAAACACCTGAGATGGCCACCTGATGCTTGTATGCTGCCAGCATGATTACAGCCTGGACCTGACTGCATGTTCAACCACCAGCAGCACCTGAAGCCCCAGCCAGCAGCACCTGAGGGCGCAGGCAGCACCTGAAGCCCCAGGCAGCATGTGAAGGCGCATTCAGCAGCAGTGAAGGGGTGCGCGCACCTGACGATGCCGGCAGTGACGGTGTTGGAGAGGTGCAGAGGCGAGCCCAATGCCACCACCCAGTCCCCCGGCCGCAGTGCCTTGGACGACCCCAGCTTCACCACCGGCAACGGTGACGGTGCTGACACCTGTGTTGGGCAGTGCAGCGGGTGAGAAGAGGAAAGGAGAGGCAGGCAGCAAGGGTGGACAGCCACTCGAAGAGCACAGCAATTGGATTCGAGTAGCAAGGAGCAAAGTGATGTCAGCGTGGTGGAGAAGAGTGATGGGGGCAGCACAAGAGGCATCGCAAGGTGTTGGCCTACAGGTGTGGAAGCAGGAGAAAGGAGAGTGGTGAGACAGGTGGGTGAGGGCACGAGCACGTGTGGGAGCACCTTGACGAGGGCGATGTCAGAGAGAGAGTCAAAGCTCAGCACGTGGCCGTCAAACGTGCGTCCGTCCTGCAGCGTCACCTGCAGCTGTTATGAGGGGCGACCGGAGGGGCAGGGCAGGCAGCAGTTGGCACGAGCATCAGCCAACAAGTCACCAGGACGCAGAAGTGAGTGTTTGCTGTATAAACTTCGGAGCTAAGTTGGGTAAGGAGGGGTGTTGGTCAATGGAGCAGAGAGTAAAGAGACAAAGGATCAGGTGGCAGTCAGGCTACACAGCCACAGTAGCTTGCGTTACCCTCGCCCTAGGGCCCTCACCATGCCCCCAGCGGCCTCACCATGCCCCTAGCGCCCCTCACCATGCCCCTAGCGCCCCTCACCATGCCCCCAGCGCCCTCCATCCAGCGCCCCTCCCCCCCACCCCCCGTTGGCGCCCTGACCGTGGCGCGGGAGCTCCAGTAGGGCGCAGAGGAGGCGAAGGGGTCGACCATCTCGGCCACGACGTGCGCGTTGGTGAGAATGAGCCCGTCCGCCCTGATTATGGCCCCCGACCCCATCGCCTGCCCGCTGAACATGCCCCGGCCTGAGGGGGGAGGGGGGTGAAGGGGTGGGGAGGAGGGGAGGGGGAGAGGACGAAGGTGCAGGGGGATGTGACTGGCGACGGATACATGATGGCGCACTCTTGTGGGACACACATGCATGAACGCACACGTACATGAACGGACGCAAGCATGCATGCACAGACGCACACACTCACACACGCACGCATGCACGCATTCGCCCTATTCCCCCACCCCCCACCTCTCCCCCGCCCTCCCTCCAACAAACACCCTCACACGGATTCACACTGTCCACTCACCCACACTGACTGTCAGATTCACCACAGCAGGCGCTGCCCTTGCAGCCGCGTCAGCAATGGCATGTCGCGACAAGCAATTCCGCCCACACGTCCCACCATTACCACCTGCATCCCCCTCCTCCCTCGCATCCGCTTCCCCTTGCCCCGTCCCTGCCTTTCCCCCGTCTCCCCTCCCCCCTTGTTTCCCACTCTCAACTTCCTTCGTCCACTCTCCTTCCCCATCCTTAAGCCCTTTTCCCCCTTCTGCCTGCGCCTCCGCCTTCCCCCCGGGTTCCCCTTCCCCTGGGAGCAGCCGTTTGATCCCCTCAACCACGCTGCGGGGCGCGGGAAGGGACCCATGCGGGGGGGGCGTGGGCAGAGGCGGGGATTCGGGGCCGGGGAAGGGGATAGCCGTCGGGGAAGCATCGGCGGTGAGAACCAAGCGCGGGATGAATCCTGCGCGAGGCGAGGCAGTAGTAGCTTCAAGCGGAGATAACGGCAGGGAGGCGTGGGTGGAATATGCGGGGGCGGATTCACGCGACCCGAAGAGGGGAGTGGCGGACAAGGGACCACCAGATTGCGCGTGATGAGCGGATGAAAGTGGAAGACGGGAAGGCGCTTCCGTATGAGGGGAATGAAGCGCAGCTACCGCCGTCGCTCCGCCTGCCAGTGCGCCGACGAGAGCGGGGAAGAACCAAGAGAATCGGCGCGACGATGAAGAAGAGGGTTTTACGGGCGTCGCTGGCGTCACTGATTGGTGCAATCTCCTGATTCCCGTTTTCGCAGCTTGTAACGGAGCTAGTTGTTCAGCGGCTGCCCCGACCAACATTCCCCGCACAGAGGAAACCCGCTTGACGTCACTGACTCGCCGCGACATGAATCGTGCGAACAGGTACGACGTCATGGCTTGAGAAACGCGATGACCACCGCGATTGCCGCTGGAGACTTCAGGAACAGCTAAAAGTGGGCGCATTGGGGGGACCTCAATCGAACAATCTCGGACGAATGTGCCTGGAAAAGCAATCTCAGCTCTGTGCTGGATAAACTCGTCATGAACACGCCACTCGGGCTTCGTTAGTGGGCCTCGGTCTCTGACAACTACAAATCAGTTTCTACAAACTATAATACAAATCAATACGAATCAGTTTCGTGAAAGTTCACAGAAAAATGGAAGCCACTGTACTGTCAAGGTTACTGGGTAAAATTTCGTGGAAATTGTTGGATAAATATCCTGCTTGCCCTGTCAGACAATCAGCAAAGCAGAAATTGGTGCAATCTCGGCCCTGATCGGTAGCTTTGGCACACACGTGTGGGCACGTGTCGCTGGGTGCTTCCCCCCTGCTTCAGTAAATTTCCCAGCTCACAGGGGTGATCGGCACGCCCCCGAAACTGGGCTTAGGGAAGTTGCGCGGGTCGTGAGCGCGATTTCCTTCGAATCACGGTTGCTTTCGGCCCAGACTGCCCCATTCGTCACCAAGAAAATGTTTTCTAAAAAAAGGGGAACCTGGGCCATAAAATGACTCGAGTCAGAACCATTTCTTGAATCCCTCACAATAGGGCCAGGAGGAATGGGAAGATTTGAAGGTGTTTTAGGAGGTTAACGTTGGCAGGTGGAAGAAAATTTTGCAGTTTTGTTGGGTTTACCCTTCGCGGGCTTACTCCGAGTAAGCGAGGCTTACTCTCCCAACAAGCCAGAGTTAGTGGAGTTCCGCCGCGTAACTCAGTTTGCCCGTAAATGAACCTTCCTGTATGGCCACTTCGAGACGTACTCCGAGTAAGGTGTTGGGGCGATCGTTAGCCCCTTCTGAGTTCTCGGAGTAAGACACGTCGGATTGAGTAAACTTCCGTCACACGTGCAAAGCCGGAGTTTGTAAACTGCGTCGAAGCTCGCTTTTCCGCTTAAGGGTGCTACCGATCAGGGCCCTCATCTTGCACAGCTCCCCTTCTCGAAAACCTTCATTTACTGCGGATGATTGTAGGAAGGGTAATTACCTTCTGGGTAACCAGCATCGAAGCCGCTGGCGTCAGAAGTCACCTACGTGGCTCGATGGTACCCGTCAGATCATGCGCGCCCCTTCGTGGTACCCATCTTCCCTCCGTGGTACCCATCTTCCCTGCGTGGTACCCATCAACTGTGCGCGAATTCCCTCACTGGTACCGCAACATTTCAACCGAGCTGTACACTGTACAACAAAGGTTTCAATGCGTTTTTCAGTATATTAATAACAACGTTTACAAACTCTTATTGAACATTAATACCCTTGAACATAAATGTTTGAACGTGCCTTACACTGGACAGAGTGCAACATAGAAAGAAATCAGCTCCTCTTCTAAAATCCTCACATTACCTCCGAACCTTCGTAAGCTCACACCACTGAACGACAGGTAGAGTGAATCTTGCGACCATGTTTCGCAGCGCTCAGTATGTTATTTGAACAAAGTTTATAAGGTTGTATGCAAGTAAATTGAGCATGCACCCCCAAAGCTAAACATAAAATCATAAACAAATAATACGTACATTCGTTGGTTTTTGGAAACAAAACAATACATATAATGAAAATCAAATATACCTTAAGTCAATATATACTTTACGTGTAAGTTGATTGTTTGCTATACGGATGTTTTTTTTTCGGTTGTTGCAATATATCAGTTTTACGTTATCTTATAGCACGTTATATTTTCGATGTTTCTTAGCCTAAACAAATCTACCCAATGAATGCTATTTTATTTAAGAATCCAGATTTTCTTCTACACTTTATTATAGGTAATAGGTGTGATAAATTGACTCGATCAGGTGGCACTTCGGGCTTGTGACTCTATTGAGCTTGTAAACGTTAAGACAATATACTGAGAAACGCATTGAAACTCTTGGTGTACGGTGTACAGCTCGGTTGAAATGTTGCGGTACCAGTCAGGGAATTCGCGCACAGTTGATGGGTACCACGCAGGGAAGATGGGTACCACGGAGGGAAGATGGGTACCACGAAGGGGCGCGCATGATCTGACGGGTACCATCGAGCCACGTAGGTGACTTTTGACGTCAGCGGGCTCGATGTGAGTTACCCAGAAGGTAATTACCCTTGTAGGAAGCCTCAATCACGTGAAGAGCACGCTAGTACCAACGAATCAGTGAGCTTGGCTGGGCCAAAGATCCGCCAGGCTGGATTTTGTGCTGTAGGGCTCGGCAAGTCCTTGTAACAATTCAAGTGCCCAAACGCTAGTCCTCCTCCCACCAGAGATTCCAGACCTGTGTCCAAACGTCTGGTCTAGAGTGGCTGCCATCAGCAGGGCCAGAGGACAGCCGCAAAACACAGCAATTGTGATGGCAGAACCTCCACTCTGGTGTACAGATGCTGGCGTGGCGTTCCTGGGAGTGTTTGTTCTTGAAAGATTAGTCCTAGAATGTCTCCCTGCATAAATCGAATCGGCCGATGCGTCCATGTGATAGACCCATGTGTTATCATTAATCGGCAACGGTTCTTGGGTTCCTGCGGATGCCATTGGCGGAAGCGAGTCTTCCAGACGCTGAGAAAATGATTCGGCCTTCCTGATACATTCCACTATGCTTCCATGCGCGTCACCAGAATTGTTTGTGAAATCCACATCCCAGAAGGTGGCAAAATTGCAATTAACTCCAAGGTTACAGCTCTGAACTTAGCATTTAGTTCTTTCTGCACTTGTACCTCGTTGCTTGCACTTTCTAGACTTGATCGTTAGCGTCTTGCACCCTCAGGGTGGAGCTTTAAGTATTTCGTAAGGGTTTCAGACCACTTAGCTGAAGACCATCGTTTCCACCGAATGGAATGAAGTGGAGGGCAATTCGTTTAAACCGTTGACTCCGACCATCCTGAACTTGGGAAACGTGAAGCCTGAGGCAACTTCGAGGCTGTGAATTCGGCGGGAATACAGCAGGGCGTGCTGTTTGGGCCTGATCATTTCGAATTTCGATGCACAGCCAGGCACACATCGCCAACCCATTCCTTCCCGCAGAGTCGCATGAAGGAGCAGCATATGCACGCCGCATTCCCCCGTTGAGTGTGGGTGTGGGCGCGCTACGTTACTGTCGCCGCAAGCCCAACGCGACTTTCCAGTTGGCAGCGATGACGACGTTGGTTGCACAGTAAACGGCTGAGTACGTCAAAGATAGGTAATGAGGGTTACAGTGTGGTGAATTCCAATGTCCTGATTGAACGCACAAGCAAGAAGCCACTATCCATTCCCTCAGCGATCAATAGTCCTATCCATGGCGCTCAGCTCAGCTGTCAGGGTTTTCCTTACCCCGTCCCAATCGTGTACAGTAAGCAGTCCAGCCCGCCCGACTGATCCACGCAGAAGTGCTGCGCGGCGATCTGTGAGCCGAGGGATAATCAGCAAAACGTCCTCACTCATTTCCGCTGCTCCTATTGGGGCAGCAGGGCTCAAGGTGGATGGCACAGGGGCTAAGAAGCTCTTAGGCCAACGCCTTATTCAAGGACATTGTCAGGCATGGGAATAGGAACCTTTACAACCGACAAATGCTCAAATGGGCTGAGTGCTGCTCAGAAGATCCTTCTTTCACATGCCGAAAGAATACCGCGTACTAGTACCCTCATCATTTGGTCCCCCAAAGCCGTCGACGACACGGTTTCTGATCGTCGGCATGCAGCACTAGTAGCATCCGCAACGTGGTGCAAGTTAACTTCCTTCAAGCAGGATACAACCGTTTATCTTGCAGGAAGCGTTTTTTTCGAGAGGTTCTCAAGCACGTCGACAAAATTTTTGATTCGCAGCCCGTTCATTGAGCCGGTCCTAGCATTCTCCGTGCTTTGCGAGAGTGATAGAAATAATCCGTCACGTCACGACCTCGTACGGGACACACAGTCCCTAATAATGTCCGACGGCGCAGCCGAATAGGGAGAAAACGCCCAGCAAGCGGTTGGCGAGCGACGCCAGGCGTACTCGCCATGGACAGCTATCTGCGGCGAGCCGTAAGAACTCCGCACGAGGCGAGCAGCGCCATGATTTCCGGCGATACCACAGCCTCCGGTTCCAGCGCGTCATTCGTGGCCGTTGATTTCCGACATCCGAATCCACTCACGAGCGTGCCCGCCGCGACGGCCGTCCATGGCTCCATGCCCGCCGAACGCTGGCCCTTGCTTTGTAGTGCCGTCAGCTGCAGTACGAGTGGCAGCACGAGCACGATAGGCGCAGCGCACCTCGAAATCGCCGCGGCGCGGCCGTCATTCGACGCCAATTTGCAGCGGATATTGGACGCATCGTCGCTCGACGAAATCTGGAGCGTCGCAGAACTGAATCCTGTACGCGGAAACTTTCCCCCCTTCTACTCCACACAGCGCCGCCCGCCCGCACGCTCGCTGCGCGGAGACCCGCCTGGCGGGCCCTCGATGCCGCTCCCCATTGCGCCCGCTCCGAGTCTGTGGGGCTCCGCGAGCGCGCATCGCCTTCCCACCGCGGGCTTTCTTCCCGTCGTCCCCGAGGCCATGGCGGCCGTGGCGGGCGGGTCGAGTCCCGTGCACGGCCTCGTGTCGCTGCCCGACCGCCTTCACGGCCTCTTCGCCTCCACTGACTTTCCGCCTTCCGCCGAGTTAAACCCCAGCGCGCATGACGCCGCCTCCCGCGCTGCTGCTCACCTACCCCCGTTACCCGCTGCGTCGTTGATGCTGCCGCCACAGGAGCCACGAGCCGGAACCGCTGGCACGTCAGCTGCAGCTTCGGCGGAAGCGCGCCGGGAGAGCGACTCGGCAGCCACGCTCGCAGCGCCATTGGCGACTTCGACGAGCACGCCACTGGCGGCGGGGTTTGCGACATTTGCGGGCTCTGGCCGTCACGCCGACTATAGCGCCTCGAGGTGGCGGAGGCGACTGGAGCAGCGCGAGGAGCCCGTGGCCGCCTCCAGCGGCGGTGCGCCGCCGTTCGCGGGGGGGGCAGGCGCAGCGTGGGCATTCCCCTCGGTGGGGCGGCTGGTAGCAGCGCAGGGGGCGGCGGGCGGGGGAGCGGACGTACTACAAGCAGCAAATGCGTCGGAGTGGATCCCCGCGGCAGCGGCGGACGAGGACCTGCCGCAGGCGCTGGAGCATGCAGGCGGGGGAATGGAGGGCGCGGGCGGAGGCGGGGGAATGGAGGACGTGGTGGGGGGCTGGGGCACGTGGGACACGGCGTGGGGCGTGATGGGGATGGACGCGGGGGTGAGCAGCGGCGGCACTGGCATGTGCATGAACAGTGACATGGGTAGCATGGATATGGGCGCGGGCATAGGCATGGGGATGGGGATGGGCATGAGCGCGGCGGGCACGGGCATGGGGGTTGGCATGGGCAATGGGATGGCAACGGGGATGGGCATGGACATAGAGGCGGCGGTGGAGATGGAGATGCGATGCGCGGAGGAGCTGCTCCGACGCACCGCCATGGTGCCCGAAGCCGAGGCGCGGGCCATCGTCCCCCAGGGCGAGGCCGACGCGCCGGCCATGGCTTCGTGCGAGGGCGAGGCAACGGCCATGGTGGGAGAGATGGAGGCGCCGGCGGATAGCACGCAGGACAGCGGCATGGCAGGCCCGCCGTCGCACCCTCTCGGCGCCGCTGCAGCGCAATCACCGCCCGCATCCTGTGGCGACGCGCCATCTCCTGCTTCTGCCCCAGAAGGCGCGCGCTTCTCCCGTCGCGCCACGTGGTCCGCGGCGCCCTTCCCGTCGTCGGCGGATGCGGCGCTGATGCAAGCGATGGAGCTCGATCGCCTCGAGCACGACGCCACCATGGCGCGCCTCACCGCCGTGGCCGCATCCCACGGCGCCAATCGCGCCCTGCCTCCCGCCTCGCCTCTTGCTTCCACCCTCCCCTCCCCAACCGACCCCAGCACCCGCCTTTCCGCTGCACCCTCCTCCGCTGCACGACCGGCTGACGCCATCATGACAGCCGCGCCAGCCTCTGCCATGTCCGCCGCCATGCCCACCGCCATGCCCGATGGCGCCATGGACGCTCCCTTCCTGCCCGCCCTCGACTTCCCTTCGCGCCCCAAGCGCGCCAAGCCGCTCCACCACCAGCAGCAGCAGCAGCAGCAGGGGCAGGCGCAGGGGCAGGGGCAGGAGTCCTGTATGAACCATGTACCTCAGCCCGAGTCCCACCTCCCGCCTGTGCTACCCGCAGCTACCGCCCCTTCCGCCTGCCCAGCAGCCGTCTCATTGGCCGAGGCCTTTCGCATGGAGGCGCTCCGGGCAGGGTGGGGTGAGGGGGAGGGGGGGATGCGGAATGAGGAGAAGGGGAAGATGAAGGAGAGCGGTGGGCAGGGCGGAGAAGGGGGAGGGCCAGCAGGGGGAGAAAGCACGGCGTGTGGTGGGGAAGCAGTGGACGCGGAATTGCCCGGGGGCTCGGAGGGGCAGGCAGACGGGGTTGGTGGGGCGGAAGAGGGGGGGAGGGAGGCGGTGATGGAGGGACCCAGCAGCAGCGCAGCAGCGGGGCTGCGGAACCCAGCGAGGGCGGCCGGGGGGGACACTGCTAGTGGCGGGGGGGGGAAGCCAGCCCAGGCGACAGCAGCAGGAGCAGCGTGTGCGGGGCGCGCTGGAGGAGCGATTTTTTATCCCTGGGCGCCCACGCGCACCACCACGTTCCCCGTCGCCCACCTGCCGGGCATTGCCCCAGCCGTGAACGAGCTGCTGGCGCGGCGGTTTGCGGTGAATCAACAGCACCTGCCCGCTGTGGCGTCCGCTGTGGCGCCAGAGGTGCAGCAGCTGTTTGCGCGCCGCCACACCGTGTCCGGCACTCCCTCAGTGCGTGATATGGGCTTGCAGCACAGCTTGCCCCGCCCCTTGCAACCACTCCCCTTCACCCTCCCCACCATCCAGTCGCTTGAAGACCCTCTGCCCCTCATCCCTCGCTCCCTCGCCTCCTTCCAGCCCCACCCTGACCCTCCTGCACCTGCACCTGCACCCAATGCCGCCGCTGCAGCACTGTCCGCTCGCACGCTCTTCCCCTCGATGCACCCCTTTAGCAGCGCCCTGGTTCCGCCCTCCACCATGCCACCGCTCTTCCCGTCGCCTGCCATCCCATCGCCTGCCATCCCGTCTCCTGCCATCCCATCGCCTGCCATCCCGTCTCCTGCCATCCCATCGCCTGCCATCCCACCTGCCATCCCGTCGCCTGCCATCCCGTTCCGCTTCCTCACGCCTCCCCTCACGCCCTCCTCGCCTCCCCTCTGCGTCACGCCCAGAGGGGCCATCAGTGCCAGTGCCGCCAGCAGCAGCAGCAGCGGCAGCGCAGGAGCAGCGGGGCCCTTTGCCCGAACTGGGGTTTCAAGGGGGTCAAAAGGGTCAATGCGGTCAATGCGGTCAAAGGGGTCAGCAGACCCTCTCACATTCCCCCCGCCCTCTGCAGCGCTCCAATGTGAAGCAGCACGGGGCAGCATCCTCTATGCCGGTTCCAAACGAAGCCTCTCCTCCTCCACCCTCCCCTCCCTCACTCTCCCTACCATCCCTCCCTTTTCATCCTCCATCCCGGTCCATCAGCAAACCTTCCTGCCCTTGTCCGCACCACCCCCTCCCTTCGCGGCCACGTCCTCCCTCCTTCCGTTCCTGCCTGACGCCTCCACCACGGACCCCCTGCGCTGCCTGGGGTGTGGAATCGAACTAGACCAGGAAAATGCGAGGGAGGCCCTGGCTTTACCCGACGGGGTGGGACCGCCGTTGCCTCGCGGCTCGGAAATGCTTGCGGGGCGCATTCCGCGTGTGCACGGGTGCAATGAGTGCCTGCCCCTGCTCGTGCCCAGCTACTTCAAGAGGCGGGCAGCTGCAAAGAAGCACACTCCTAACAAGTCCACGTGAATTGCAATGTGAATTATGTATTGCAATTTGATTTTGTTGTAAGAAGTGTACCTTGATTATAATGAGGACACAACATGCGTATCTGGAAAATATACCGAAACGAACGTTTATGATGCGGAGCCCCTCTGCCATGCACAGCATCGTTCCCCACCGCATTCGCTACACACCCTCAGCATATTTTGCCGCCTTACGGTATGTTTCTCGAGCTCCTCGCAGTTTTCACATTTTGCCGCCTTCATTCCCTCAGGTTCCCCAGGATCATCAGTGCATACTTCTTCGTCCGTACACCTGTTCCGAACGGTTGAGATTTCACAAAAGTTCGGTGTCGGTAAATTTGACGTAATCTCCTGCCGGCCCAGAGAGCGCGAATCCCGCGAGAACTGTCAACGTTTCGTCGCCGTCCGATTGGAATGCCTGGCGATGCGGAACTATACCATAGTCGCGGGGAACCTTCCCCGCACAAGCGGAAGCGGGGAGCCGCGGAGGAGGAGGATGTTGACTGCAGCGGACTGGCGAGTGTAGACTCAGGGATTGCCGAGGACGAGAGCGCCGCGGGCTTTTTGGTGGGTAGCTCCAGGCAGATATGGTATCCGACGCAGTGCGCGACGAAACGGATGCGAGGCGCAGCGGAATCAAGCACGATTATGGAGGAGGGCGGGGGAGAGGGAGGGGCGCAGAGGGAGCAAGGAAACGCGGGGAAAGAAGGACATGGATGCGAGGCGCGGGGAAGGGAGGCAGAGGCAGCGGCGGAAAGGCAGGGCAGGGGGGGATTGGCGGAGAGCGAGGAAGGTGCGCGAGGGGGTGGTGGCGCGCGGGATGGCTGTGGCGCGCGCGAGACACTCGGGGGAGGCGGAGAAATCGAGAGGGCGAGGGAGGAGGTGAAGCGAGAGATGGTGGAGGAGGTGCTGCAACGCGACGGGTGTGAGGGCGCACAAGCATTCGTGCGCATACCCCCGTGTCTGTATGCGCCAGCACCGTTTCATCCTGCGCCCTGTCAGGCCCCCCCGCACCTCCGTGACTCCCCGCACCTCCGTGTCCCTCCGCCCATCCATGCCTCTCCGTTCGTCCATGCCTCTCCGCATGTCCATGCCTCTCCGCATGTCCATGCCTCTCCGCATGTCCATGCCTCTCCGCCCGTCCGTGCTTCTCCGCACGTCCGTGCCTCTCCGCACGTCCATGCCTCTCCGCACGTCCATGCCTCTCCGCCCGTCCATGCCTCTCCGCACGTCCACACCTCCCCGCACGTCCATGCCTCTCCGCACGTCCATGCCTCCCCGCACGTCGGTGGCAGCGCGCGCAGGTCCGTCGCAGCCCCTCTCTGTGAGCCGCTGCCACCAGCGCCGCCCGTGGCACCAGCGGCACCAGCGCCATTAGCAGTGTCAGCATCATCAACAGCTGCAGGTCGGCCCCACAGTGCAGTAGGAGCAGCAGGAGAGGCACCATCGGCAACACCAGCAGCAGCATCAGCAGCAGCAGCAGCCATTGCACCAGCGCCAGCACCAGCGCCAGCACCAGCACCAGTGGAAGCACCATCGGCAGCAGCACCACCACCAGCAGCAGCTTCAACAACAGCAAAAGCAAAAGTATCAACATCAGCACCACCAGCGACAGCAGCAGCACCAGCAGCAGGAGCAACAGCAACAGCAACAGCAACAGCAACAGCAACAGCAACAGCAACAACAACAGCAACAGCAACAGCAACAGCAACAGCAACAGCAACAGCAACAGCAGCAGCAACAGCAGCAGCACCAGCAGCAGGAGCAGCAACAGCAGCAGCAACAGCAGCAGAAGCACCAGCAGCAGCAGCAACAACAACAACAACAACAACAACAACAACAACAACAACAACAACAACAACAACAACAACAACAACAACAACAACAACAACAACAACAACAACAACAACAACAACAACAACAACAACAACAACAACAACAACAACAACAACAACAACAACAACAACAACAACAACAACAACAACAACAACAACAACAGCAGCAGAAGCGTCAGCATCAGCACCACCAGCAAGAGCAAGAGCAACAGCAGAAGCACCAGCACCAGCACCAGCAACGGCAGCAGCAACAGGAACAGCAGCAGCCGCAGCATCATCAATAGCAGCACCATTAGCAACAGTACCAGTACCCGCACCTGCACCAGATGACAAGGCAAGCAGTGGTGAGAGGCGTGAGGAGGCGAGGTGCAGAGGAGCAGAGGTGGCAGGGGCGGGGAGCGAGCAGGGCGCTGACATGGGGCGAGAGGATGTGGGGCTGGCAGGGGTGCAACCAGGGCCGCCTGGGGATGGCAGCCATGGCATGGCACATGGGCAGAGGCGAGTAGGGAGGCAGGCAGGGGACAATGGCGAGTGCGAGGGGGGGAATGCTCGAGGGTGCGTAGTACAGGGGCAGCATGGAGGGGAGAATGAGGGGGGCCATGAGGGGGAGAAGGTGAGATGGGGGGAGCAAACGTTGGGAGAGCAGGTATCAGGTGCGAAGGCATGTGAGGAAATGTTGCAGCGAGGCAGTGAGAGAGGGAACGAGGGGGGGAGGCAGGAGGTGAGGCAGGGGAGCAGCGCAAGTGGTGGTGGTGGTGGGGCAAGGGGAGCAGAAGGGGTAATGAGCACTCCACCTCGTCACAACCACATGCCGTGCTCACCTGACGGCCCTGTGCCGTGCCCACCTGGCAAACCCATGCCATGCCAGCCTCATGACCCGGTTGTGCCGTGCGCCGAAACGCCGGTGGTGCAGTGCAGTGACAAGGCCACAACAGTGCCCCTGGCACCTGAGAGCCGCCCTGGGAGCCGCCCTGAGAGCCACCCAGATAGCCGCCCTGCTGATCCCTGTGCTGAACCTCAGAGCCAACAGCCTATACGCGGCAGCGATACCCCTGGCTGCCTCTCACAGGGAGTGGTTGCAGAGGCAGGTAGAACAGGTGGTGACCCGTCTCCCTCTCATGCTGTGACTGCAGATGCTGGTGCTGATGTGGACCCGCCCGCTCCGCCACCCAAGAGCACTCCACTGCCACGTCAGCAGGAGTGTCCACGTCAGCAACAGCCTAGTTGCGACAAGTCAGCACAAGCAGAGCCACGCAATGTCATGGGCACGAGCGAGAAAGCAAGGGATGAAGAGGCTACTGCTGTTCCATACCATGTGCTTGCCGCTCGTGTGTTTGCGGAATTGCGGGACTTGATGTTTGATACCCACGTGGCTCATGAGGACCTGGAAGCAGTTGTGAATGAGGCGGTGATGACGTGGCATCCAGACGTGCGGGCCATGGCTCGAGAGAGTGTGTGGGATGTGGGGAAGGAGACGGTTGCGAGGGTGGAAGGGAAGGTTGGCATTTCAATGTTGGCTTTGCGGAAGAAGCTAGAATTATCCATTGAGGATTTGGATAAAAGGCTTGAGAAAGAGGAGGAAGAAGAAAGAAACGGCTTGTGAATCCTAGGTGGAATTTTTACAATTATTGGAAGTGGATACGCAAATTCTGTACCTAACCCAACCATCTCTTTATCGCAACTTTGGACTTCAACACTGCTTCCGATCACTCCCTTCCAATTTCTTCATGTTATTCTGACCAGAATTATTTCAAGTGATTTGTGCTGCCGCCTCGTAAGTACTGCTCAATTCCGCTCGTCAGTTATCTCACATCAGCATCAACATCGTCCGCATTCGTACACTGCCACTCTATAGTAGTCTCTCGCGTAGACTATCAAGGCTCTTATAGCCGTGCCCGTTGCGATGGAGGAGGAGGCGATAGAGCGAGCGGTGCTGGCGTACCTGCGTCGCAAGGGCTACAAGAATGCTGAGCTGGCGTTTAAAGACGACTCTAAGACGCAGTCGCTCGATGCGCTCGTTACGGTTGGCGGGAAGGCAGCAGCTGCTGAGCTGGACAAGAATCTAGCCAATCAGATTATGCTTTACAGCAGGTGGGAAGCCACAGCGGACCCTAACCCTAACCGCGACATTAACTGAACCGTTGTTTTCGTTAACGTCGATAACTGTGTAGTGTCGCCCATACAGAATCTCCAAAGTCATGGCTTTGACTGGTTGGAGAAGCGCCACGTGTCTCTCCCGGGGTTGTCTCTTCCAGGTCGGAGAAGGCGCCAGCGTGCTATGTGGAAGGTTACAGGAAGCTTCGCGCGTGGGTGCATTCCTCCTTGGACCTCTACAAGGTACTTCCCCACAGACCCCCTCGCCTCGCCTCGCCTCGCCTCGCCTCGCCTCGCCTCGCCTCGCCTCGCCTCGCCTCGCCTCGCCTCGCGTCCCCCTCCCATCCTCTCCTTCTCGCATCCCTCCAGAACGAGCCGCTGCGTGTGCTGTAAGCGGTCCTCGTGCACGACCCTGAAGCGCTCCCCAATATCATTCACTCCACCCTTAACCCCCCCCACCATCCCATCCCCCCAGAACGAGCTGCTGCGCGTGCTGTATCCGGTGTTCGTGCACGCCTTCCTCGAGCTCGTCGCGCAGGACCACCCCGACGCGGCGCGCGCGCTCATGGAGGCGCACGGCGCGGACCACGCGCGGCTGCACGCCAGCGACCTCGCGCAGCTCGCGGGCATCAGCTCCGCGCAGCACGCGCTCGAGAGCCCCCTCGCGCGCGCCTTCCGCGAGAACAAGGCCGTCATCCGCATGTGCCAGGTAGGTAGCCGCATGGTCATCCGCATGTGCCAGGTATCCCACAGTCATGTGCAGCAGGTGGCTGTCCGCTCCTCCTCGTTCCACACTGCACTGCTCGTGTCTGCTGGCTCCTCCTTCTCCTCTTATCCTCCTCGCTTTCCCCCCAGTGCGACGCTCGCCCCTCCTCTCCTCACATAACCGCACATGCCACATGCCATGCCCCCATTCCCCACCCCACCCCACCGCATCCCACGCCATGGCATGGCACTACGGCAGTACTCGTTCGACCTGCTGCTGCAGTTCCTGCACGCCGCTGACCTCATGGATATCCTCGCATGCCCCCCCGTGCTGCATGCCATACCCCTTGCCCCCACCCCACCCTACACGTGCACGTGGCACTATGGGAGGGCAGTACTCGTTTGACCTGCTGCTGCAGTTCCTGCACGCCGCGGACCTCATGGCCATCCTGGCGCTCGTCAACCGCCACATCCACATCATCGGTGGGTCACTCGCTTCCTCCCACTCAGTCCATTCAATGCCGTGTTGCACTCGTGGATGTCCACTCACTTGCTGCACCCATGCACGCGCCACCACCCCCTCCTCTCTGCTTCTCCCTCCCTTCTCCCCATCCACTCTTCCTCCCCCATTTTCCTTGCCCTTTCCTCCTCCTTCTCTTCCACCACATCCCCCATCTTTCTTGCTCTTTCCCCCACTCCTCCCCCTTACCTAACGCGCAGTGCACGCGGGGCGGCCAGCGGCGCAGGAGGAGGAGGAGGACGAGGCAACGGGCATGGTGTCCAGCGCGGGGGCGGACGGGGGGGGCATGGGGGGGGGCATGCTGGCGGGGGTGGTCACGGGGGCGACGCACGAGGCGGTGAGGCGCATGGGGCAGCGCGAGGTGCTGTGGGGTGCGCTGGAGGACGGTGTGGAGCATCGGTTGGAGCAGGAGAGGGAGAGGGAGGCTGAGAAGGAGGAGGGCGACGAGGGCGAAGGGGAGGACGGCAAGGTGAGATGCGTGTGGGTGGTGTGGCGTGTGCGTGTGAGAGGCGTGGTGCGGGCACGGGATGCATGGGGCAGCGCGAGGTGTTGTGGGGCGCGCTGGAGGACGGCGTGGAGCACCGGCTGGAGCAGGAGAGGGAGCGGAAGGGCGAACGGGAGGAGGGCGACGAGGGCGGAAGGGAGGGCGAGGGGGACGATGGCAAGGTGAGATGCGTTGGTGGTGCGGGCACGCGGCCAAGGGGTGCTGAGTTTTTCACGCTCTCTTATGCTCTCATCCCTCAATCTCGGATTTCTTGGCGCCGTACAGATGGCCTCATGCCGCCCGACCTCTCATCTTCTGCCCCCCTGCACGCGACCTCCCTGCGTGCTGCCTCACTCCCCTCAGAAGCGGGCAGCGGACGGCAAGGCAGGGGCGCCGGGCGGCAAGAAGGGGAAGAAGGACAAGGCGGGGGAGAAGGACGCGCTCAAGGGGGGCGCGGGGGGGGGAGCAGGGGGGGCAGCGGGGGCAGGGGGGGGCGCTGGAGGAAAGGGAGGGAAGGTGGGGGAGGGCAAGGGGGCGGGCGGGGCTGCTGCATTGACTGGCACACGCGTGGCTGCGCACCTGCCTCTCCCTAAGATGTGAGCTCTCCCTCCCGCTGCTCTGCTCCCCGCTGCTCTCCCGTCTGCTGCTCTGCCTGCTGCCATCTATCCCTGCCTGGCCACGTCTCGCTGCCTTTCTGTGATTTAAGTTGACTCATGCCTCAGCTCCTTCAATCCTCCCTTTCTCTGCCATTTCTGCCTCATGCCTCTCTGCCTCTTCCCTCTCTGGCTCTCTGCCTCCCTCCCCTCTGCTACTGTGGGTGATCACACAAGGCAGGCGGGAGGAGGCGGAGAAGCAGGTGTTTGACGACTTGAGGCGGCGAGTGGCACTGGGAGCGCAGGCGCTGCCATCTGTGTGCTGCTACACGCTGCTGCACGCGCACTCCAGGTGCGCACTGCTCTGCCGTGATGCATTCGCGCTCCAGGTGGGCTGCTATGTGCTGTGCGGTGCCACAAGCACACACGGAGTGCAGCCAAACCACCCTGCCACACTGCCTCTTCTCTTGCTTCACTCACTCCCCCCACTCACCTCGCATGCCTCACCAATCTCCCATTCGTCCTGTGTTCTGCGCCCTTCCCACACGCCAGCATGACGTCAGTGTCCGTTGCTCCCGATGGTGCCCTGCTGGCTGCAGGCTTCAATGACTCGTCCGTCAAGGTGGGAGGCTTCATTTAGTGCATCAAGTTCAGTTCAGTCACATCTTGACTGAACATGAAGCTCAATCTCAAACATGAAGCTCAATCTGATCAAACGTTATATTCAGTACTATCATACATGTAGTTCTGACCTCAAATGCGCTTCTATCAGGCCTTGTTCAATTCTAGCATAAGCCCGTACGTCCAATCCAGAATCGCATCACAATGACAATCATCCACGTTGGTAACATTCATGCATGGCAGGCCACTATAGTGGCGATGGCCCCTCTCTCACATGCTCTGTTGCTACCATCTCCTCCCCACCTCCTCCTCCCCTCTCTTCCTCGCTCTCCCCCTGTTGCCCCTTCTTTTCTCCTCCGTCGCTCCTCTCCCGCCCCACAGGTGTGGGACATGCGATCCATTGGTTCCTCCCCCTTGCCGCAAAGTACGTCACGCCACTGCCTCCTCTCGCCTCTTGTTCCACTTCAGTTGGCGTTTGAGAATTCTCAATTACCAGCTACTCCTCCCCCCTGCCTGCCACTAGCTACCTTTCTCGCCTCTCGTTTCTCATTTCACACATGTTCCATCTCTCATTTCTCCTCTGTCTCTCGCCTTCCATTCACCGTTCCTCCTCACCCCTCACATCACCTCTGCATCTCTCTCGTCATCGTAAATCCTCATGTGTCTCACTCCACCCCCCCCCCTCCTCCCCCTCCCGCTCCCCTCTCCCCGCAACGCCCAGCCGCCCTATCTCTCGACACCTCAGCAGCAGCCGAAGCCCCAGCCATGCAGCACACACCACGTGGACACTCCACAGCCACCACCACCACCCCCACCACCAGCACCACCAGCAAGCGCTACATGGCACTGAGGGGCCACAGTGGCGCGGTGCACGCAACCTCCTTCAGCCCTTCAGACGACCGTTTCCTCCTCTCCGCCTCCTCCGATGCCTCGGTGCGCCTGTGGCACCTGGGGCTGGGGGCGTGCCTGGTGGCGTACCGAGCGCACTGCTACCCTGTGTGGGACGTGCAGCACTCGCCCGTGGGGCACTACTTCGCCACGGCGTCGTATGACCGCACGGCACGCGTGTGGAGCATGGAGCGCTCGTACCCTCTCCGCATCATGGCGGGTCACCTCTCCGACGTGCATGTGAGTTGTGGAGCATGACTGGTGCGTGTGTGGAGCATGACTGGTGCGTGTGTGGAGCATGGAGCGCTCGTACCCGCTGCTCATCATGGCGGGCCACCTCTCCGACGTGCATGTCAGTCAATTCTCTGATCCTTGTGCTGAAATAAATCCACCTTTTCTTCGTGATTGGGAACCCCCGGGACCGCACGGCACGCGTGTGGAGCATGGAGCGCTCCTATCCTCTCCGCATCATGGCGGGCCACCTCTCCGACGTGCATGTGAGTTGTGGAGCATGACTGGTGCGTGTGTGGAGCATGGAGCGCTCCTATCCTCTCCGCATCATGGCGGGTCACCTCTCCGACGTGCATGTCAGTGCCTTCCTCTTTCGCACATCCCTGGTGTGCGGTGGCACGCCAGCTGCAACTAAAGTATCACCCGCTTCAGTGACAACCCAAGCCCTCGGCCCAGCCTCTCGTCCTGACACCTCTCTCTTCCTCTCTTCCCATCCCCACTCCCCCCCAGGCGGTGCGGTGGCACGCCAACTGCAACTACATTGCCACCTGCTCCAGCGACAAGACGCTGCGCCTGTGGGACGTGCAGACCGGCGAGTGCTGCCGAGTCTTTGCCGCCCACCGCTCGCCCGTGTACGCACTCGCCACGTCACCAGACGGCCGCTTCCTGGCGTCAGGGGATGAGGGAGGCGCCGTGCTGCTGTGGGACCTGGGCACGGGCCGCTGCATTGCGCCCCTGCTGGGGCACACTGGCTGTGTCTGGTCGCTTGCCTTCAGGTGGGTGCGGTGCGGTGCAGTGGGGTGCGTGCTGTATTCTCCTTTCTTGATGCGCCCTAGCAACATCTTCCTGGCGTCGGGGGATGATGAGGGAGGCGCCGTGCTGCTGTGGGACCTGGGCACGGGACGATGCATTGCACCCCTGCTGGGCCACACTGGTTGTCTGTGGTCGCTCGCCTTCAGGTGGGTGCGGTGCGGTGCAGTGGGGTGCAGTGCGGTGCGTGCTGTGCCGTGCTGCTGTGGGACCTGGGCACAGGCCGCTGCATCGCCCCGCTGCTGGGGCACACCAGTTGTGTGTGGACGCTCGCCTTCAGGTGGGTGCGGTGAGGTGCAGTGCGGTGCTCTCCTGCTGTATGCTCCCCAGCAATGTCATTCGCGCCCTCCACAAGTTGAGATTCTGCCTGGACTGGCCCTCATAGCCAGCCTGCCCCAACCAGCACAACCTGCTATATCTTTGCATCACAACTTCAATCTCCACCCTGTCTGCCTCCCATGCATCCCCTCCCCCCGTCCACCTGCGTGCATGCGGGCGAGCAGTGGCGAGTCGGCAGTGCTGGCATCGGGGGCAGCGGACGACACGGTGAGGCTGTGGGACGTGGCTGCTGCCAGCAAGCTCGCTCCCAACGAGGCCAAGTGAGTGCCGCGGAGGGCGAGTGAATGGCAGGTTGGGTGACAGAGTGCAAGTGCGTGGCAGGGAGGCAAGTCGCAGAGATGTCAAGCTGATCATGAGAAGCTGTTTGTGTTTCCATCATCCCTCTCTGCCTGCCCTCTCTGAACGTGCCTCCATCCACATTGCCCAACCTCCTTCCCTTGCCTTTCCTCTGGTGGGTCTCCCCTCGTGGGTCTCCCCTCGGTGTTGCATGTTCCTCCCTTTCCCCCACCCCCCTCCACGCCTGCCCATGCGGGCGGCATCAGGACATCGGTGGGGCGGCGGTTGCGCCTTCTCAAGACCTTCCCCACCAAGTCAACACCCATTTCCGCCCTGCAGGTATCCCCCGCTCACCGCCCACCTCAAAGTGCCGCTTGTCTCTGTCTGCCTCCCGCCATTCGCACAACACTTGTATCATGCTCCTCTTGCAAGCGTCTAGTCCCCTTTCGCAATCCTCCAAGGCCCCCTTTCAGTAGCACCTTCCAGTGCGCCCAGTGCCTCTTTCAACCCGCCGTGCGATTCCCCGACCCCTCCCCTTCTCCACTACTCCCTCCCAATACTCCCTTCCGCCACTCCCCTCTCGGCAGTTCACGCGGCGTAACCTGCTCGTGGCAGCTGGGGCCTTCAAACACTCCGACCCCACATCTTGATGCTGCATGCCACATGCCACATGTCATGTCAGCGTGGGTGCACTGGGCAAGGCATGGCATGCAGATTGTGCATGCTTCTGTGTTGGACGCAACATCTGTAGTCCAAAGGTGTTTCCAACTTGTTAGCTGGGGGTCAAAAGAAGAATACCGTACCACCAGCTGTGCTTCAAGTTTTGATAATGGTGCTGTTCGCCAGCACCTTTGAAGCCAAAAACCACGGGATAACGACGGGATCAGGAAGGTGGGTCTCGCCTTCCTGATCCCGTCAGTTAGGGTTCGTTTACCTCCGTCAGCCTGGTCAGCCCGTAAAAAAGCTGCCGAGCCTCCCCTACCGTCCAAACCAAAAACCATCGTGGGGGTCTGGCGAACGCCCCCATTTGTCGATCAAATCGAACTGCTCGACGGCATATGGAAGCGGGGAAGCAACTTCGTCCCCAGGCAAAATTCCCTCCCCAAGCTATGCCATCGCCATCCCCCGTTTTTCAAAGGACAGCGATGGCACAGCCGTTGCATTGCCGTTCAGAGGGGAACCTCTGAACGAGCCATTTGTTTGACAAATGGGGGTTAGTATACCCTCCATTTTTCCCCTCCCGAACACACCTTCGATGTCCCCCCGGCGCATGACTCGGCATGTGCACGAGGTGGCGGGGGTTGTATTTGAGCAGGGTTGGGTTTTATTTGCGTTTTTTACCCACGTCGAGAACTTTTTGGCCCGCGGGCAGGCTGTGGTCAGTGAAGCTAAACTTTCGCGCCATTGGGGGGAAGGTGGGGATGGAGGTTCCAGACGCGGTTGCGTAATTTCGCCTTTTCGGGCGCAGAAGTTTCTCGAGTGGCATTACGCCCAAACCTCGGAGGTGGGTTCCGCCTCCGTTTCCAGATGCGGTCGCGATGCCGATGCCATCTTTTCCTTTGCAAATTACGATTTGCTGGCGAACAGCACCAATGTGCAATGCGTCACCACCAGGTTGCACAGAAGAGTCGCAATCGTAGAAATGTGAATCTGAGATAACGTTTCTCCTAAAATTAGCAAGTCCGCAATCAAAGCTAGCAGTGGGTATCTGGTTTTAAACAAACAGTATAGACAGCACACACTGACGCCATTATTGACACGCATACGTGCTGCCTTAGCTAAGCACGAATGTACACCACGACTCGTAATGGACCGGGAAGAAAAAAAGAACGAAAAAAAAAAAAACAAACAAAATATACGGACTTCTCAGCTGGCCCAGGGGTTAGACATCACCGCCCCCCGATGTGAGCCTGCTACTGCATGCGGCTGTGCGCCGCCAATCCCGCCGCCTTGAGCCACCATGGCTGCGCGCGCCTGCATCAACCCCGCGGGGTGCATCGCCTGCTCCACTCCTCCCCACGCCTCCACTCCCCCCCATCCGTTCCCCCCATCCACATCCATCGCGCACTCGTTATTAGTTCCGCCGCGCCGCGCGCCTCCTGCGTGCGTCCTCTGAAGCCCCGCGGCAATATCCCCAGAGACCGTTCCCGCCTGCCAAGGGTTCGTGACAAAAACGTTCCGCGGCTGGCGCGATGTTTGCGCAGCGGCTGTCCCCCGACGCTCGGCGCGGGTGCTGCAGACCTCATCCTCGCTGTCAGATCCCGCGCCCCCCGCGCCGTTCGCGGCGTGCAGCGCTTGGCTGCGCGCGTCCACGCTACTCGCGTCATTGACGGCGTTAATAGCAGCGGCGGAGCGGTCGGATTTGCGCGCGGAACGGATGCAGTCAAGCGACCGGCGGCGGCGGGAAGGATCGTTGTGCGGCGCGTAGAGACACGCCCAGTCCGTCGCCCCCACTGCCACGCTCGCCGCCGCCGCTGGCGCCGGTGCTGGTGCTGGCGCTGTTGTTTGGGTGCGTACAGCCGAAGCAGAATGGTCGAAGCCCGCTTCGGGCTGTGGTTGCAAAACGGGCTGCCCGCTCGGTCGCCCAAACACATCTTGACCGTTGAACGCGCTGTTACGGTGCATCGGACGCTCAAGATCGTCGATTTGGAGGGACATCCGGCGCGTGGAGGGGATGGGGGACTCGACCGCAGTGGACATGGGGGAGCGGGAGGGGCACGGGGAGTGCGCGGAAGGCGGAGTGGCGGATACCTCCATTGCGACCATGGCGGAGTGCAGCTCCAGGCGTTGGCGGTGAGAACCGCCGGTCAACATACGCTGAAACATCCTCAGGAGCTTTCCTTCCTCAGTCCACCGCCTTCGGTTTGTCAACTCCAACACCCCTCCGTCGCAGCTAGACTGGCTTCGACGACAAGTCGAAATCTGCTAGGACAAAAAACCTTGCAGGATTTGCCGAGGTGTACAGTCGGGGGACGAGGTTCAACAATTCCGTCAGTTGTGTCCCTGTAACCCCAAGCTAAGGTTATCGAAATGCCTATGAAACAGGAATGTCAAAACAATGGCAGTTCAAGGAGGTGGAAGGAGGAGGATGGAACGAAGTGAGGACGGAGGAGGATGGAAGCGAAGTGAAGGCAAAAGGGGGAGGGGAAGTGCGGAGAGTGAGATAGTCTGCGCGTGCAACCCGATGGCGACGAGTGGTGGCGGATCTTCTGCCCAAACAACACTGCGCCGCACGCTTCCGCGTCCCTCGTTCGTTGCCCCCTTTTGCCCGTGAGAATCCCACGGCCCTCCCTCTTCTTCCCCCCCCACATGAACCTCATCCACTTCCCAAAACCGCTTCCAGTCTTGTCGGACTCGGTTCCTGCGCACTGCTGTCCCCCTCCCCCGCATTGCGGAGCAGTTGATGCGCCACACTCACTGTTGCGTGCTGCCGAGCGCACTTCGGCGGTGAACTCGATCGCAGTCGAAGTTTGTGGGGCAGCGCCAGCTGGCGCAGGGGACTTGGAGAAAGTGGCAGAACAGATCAGGCTGGGCAGGTGAAAGAATCGTACTTGAAGGGATGGGACAGCATGGAACCTCACGCTGGACGTTACAGTCCACGCTGTTACGATATTCACAATCCCCGACAAGGGAGGCCGCCCGCTGACAGTCTGTCCGGGTCTGCGCCACAAAAATGGGCCACAACATCACACCCACCCACAGTTGCGCCAAATCTTTTCCTGCCCTCTCCACGAGTTCCGGTGGACCACAGAAATAGGGTTGGAGCACCATCTGCTCCGTATCATGAGAGTGCTTCCTGCGGCCCTCAGTGACCGAGAGATGCACATCCACCCACTTGTTCACCCCATTCAGAATATACACATAGATTTACACCTTGCGAGTGTGTTTATCTCGCCAACGAACCCTAACTGAGAAAATATACAAAATGGGGGCACATCAGATCGACATTGCCTCATGCTTGTGGTGCTTCTGTGGGCTGGATTTCGGGCAGATTGGAAAGACATATGTCAAATGGTCTTGCCCAATCACGGCCTTGCAGCAAGTCTGACTGTCGTGGGTGTCACTGGTGTGGTGTGGGTGGGGGGTGGCGTGGTTCCTGCTACCATTGCAAAAGTCGTTAGTGTAGAAAGGCTCCAATAGGACGTCGAAGAATGAATTGCTTTCGCAACGTTCCATTGGCCGAATATTCGTCCAGCTATCAGACACCGAATCCTGCGGCGTTAAAACATTCGGGTCCGTGTTTTTCTGCCATGCCATTCGTAATCCCCAACTATCCTCACCATCCCCGATGAAAATGGTCGCCGAGCTGGCGGAAGGTTGTTCCAGGAGGTGTGTAACTGTATTGATCCACCAGTTACGTCTTTCCAAGTAATAATTGGGAGCATATACTGAAAGCAGACGAAATTGTTCATGCAGAAAGTTGCAATGTAAGTACAAGCAGCGAACATCACCAGTAGAAGCTCTGCTAGTGATAGAGACACTTGGATGGAAAACCAGCACTGCAATGCCTCCAGGTTTGGCCTGAGAAGAGGAGGAGAGGCGGGGGGGAACTTGGGCATACGCCTTTGGTTTGAGTTTAAAAAGAAGATGAGAAAAATTGGTGGTCAGACCGGTATCGGTGAGAATAAGTATATCAGCACGATTCCTTGTGAATCAGGAGCGAAGCACATCTAAATTTTGAGGCGAGTTGAGACCATTGACATTCAGACATTGTATCTTGAGGTGTGTATCCATTATTCACCATATGAGTAGGCCCCATGTGCTCCGAGAAGCACACATTCACAGGGGCAGGCGAAAGTAGCACCTTCAGCAGGCACAAGGCAGGCGAGAACAGAGAACCAATTGTCGCAAGGCTTCCTTCCGAGTTGATTAGACAGCAAATGTGGGTACAAGCTTTGCACACAGCAAGCCCAACAGCCTCTAACTCCTAACCCTGAGCAAGAAAGATGGCAATAGAGCCGTTCTGGTTGAAGACGTGGGCCTTCACATCCCCTAACTCCTCCAGGGGCGTGGAACTGCCAGAGATCTGCTGAATGGCAGACACGTGAGAGGGGTTGGCGATGTGCTCCATGGCGCTGTCCAGCGCCCAGCCGCAGCAGAAGGAACACAGGGCACAGGTCCAGACTTCCACTTCGAGGCCGGTCCCGATGAAGAAGGTGCCGGGGTCGGCTTTGAAAGAAGCCACAGCGGGGTGTTGCCCAATGATCCTGGCTGTGAATCGTAAGGGGAATTGGAAATAGGGATACAAAACACCACGGCCAGCAGTCCCACCAGGGAAAACCAGAACATAGCCACAAAATAAACATGAGCCAACAAAACCAGAGGAGCAATATAGGAGTGTTGCTAAACCGAGAGGAAGTAGGGAGGAAGAACGAGGATGCAAACAAGGATGAATCACACGAGCACAAGGAAGAGGAAGTTAGCCTCACGTAATTGACAGGAAGAAAAATACCGTTAAAACACCCAACGGGCGGTTCGGAGATTCCGTGCCTCCCCGTATGAAGATGTCGCTCATTCTTGTGTTCCTGTTCCTTTCGGCCTCCACTGCTATCTCGCTCACCGGTCCTTAGTCAAGTTCCTTCCCCCCCAGGTGCCTCACATATTTCGGGCAGAGCTAGAGGCGGTGCTTCCTTTACCTTCAAAAGTGCAA